GGGGGCCGAGGGCGCGGTGGACTGCAGGGCCGCGCTCCAGCTCCTCCACGTACTTGAGGAAGTCCAGGTCCAGATGGAAGCCGTAGGGCGTCTCCACCGAATAGGGCGAGCTCGGGCTGCGGACGCCGCCGGCTGGGCCTGGGCACATGCGAGGGCCGCCTAGGTCTGCGGACATGAGCGGGTGTAGGGGCGTCAGGTCGGGAGTCCCCGAGACACTGGGCACTACGGCGGGCACCTTGCTGCTCCACGACGGGACTGCACACACGCCACACCTGTCACTCCTGACCCCGGGCTTGCATGCCTTTCTGCGCCCAAATATTCAGTCATCATGCGTTTAGTGGGTGCCTACTGTTATGTGCCAAGCACTGGGCCAGACAGACCAACATCCCTGTTCTCTGCTTAGTAGGTGGGCTAAAAACAAAACAAACTCACTGCCATCGCCCTTGTGGGTTTCTAAGACTCTAACTCTTGTTGGGAGTAAAAAACCTCGTTTTTCCCACCCTGAGGACCTTGTCGATAGCAGTTCAGCCCTAACCACTAAGACAAATGAACGCAATCGCTTCTAATGGTACTGAAGGCCATAATAAAAACAGCCATGATAACCATCTAATCCACTCCAGATAATGTTGACTCAGTTCCGACTCATGACAGCCCTTGTGTGTCAGAACAGAAGTGGGCTCCACAGGGTTTCAGTGGGTGGTTTTATAAATGGAGGCTGGTGGGGATGGGGGGATAGTCGATTGCCAGGTATTTCTTCCTAGGCGCTTGTGGGCAGGTTCAAACCACCACTCTTGGTGAGCAGCTGAGCGCATTAACAACGATAGCACAATGAAAGAATGGCTGAGGGACAGGACTCTGGCTCTGGTGGTTAGGGGAGGTCTTCCTGAAAGGGGGCTGATAATTTAAGGTGGAAGCTGCTGGGGACAGGTGGTTCCCAAGAGGAAAGACCCCAGGCGGGCTTGGAGGAAGCTGGGTGTCAGAGCAAAAGGAGGGGATGGGGGAGATGAGCCAGGGAGGTGGGCAGCACCCATGCAGGATGAACTGGGATTTGAAGCTTGAGTGTTTATAACCTCGGAACTCATGGGGAGTGAGGTGGGGGCAGTTCTACCATACCCCATAGGGTTGCTATGAATCAGAGCCCACTGGATGGCAGTGAGTTTTCTGCTAGATGTTTAGAAAGGACCCTCTGGCCACTGCGTCCTCACACACGGGTACTAAGTGTGGATCTGTGCACACACATGTTCACTTCGCACACTCACCGGGCAGGTTTTGATTCAGGACGAACTTGGCCATTGTTCCTGGAGCCAGCACCAGACACACCCTGAAAGAAGGACCCCGGAGGAAGGTAAAGGTCGGGTGGCCAGGGGCCCCAGTCTGACCCCATACAACTTAGGCCCTACCCCTTTTGGGAAGGTGGGGGTGTCAGTTCTCAAGTCTGAGTAAACAGACCTCAGTGTCCCTCCCCACTAAGAGGCTCTGAAATTTTGGCCCCCAAGGGCCAGGCCTCCATCTACTGGGCAGGAGGTCAGGGCAGGAGATGGGAAAGTGTTGAAGAGGAGCAAGAGTAGGGGGGATCGTTCTTGGAGACGATTAGATGGCGGTGTTGTTCAAAGGGGGTGGCGTTGGGGGAGTGTGTGAGTCGTTATAAAAGCCAGGTGAGGGCTGGAAGCCTTTCTTGGGCTCATTAAAACTCACCTGGCTAGATTCAGCATCTTATAAATAACAGAGAAGAAAATCTCTTGAATATTTGGAACGGGGGGGGGGGGGGTTTGTTTGGTGTGTTTTTGTTGTTACACCCTTGTAGGACTAGTGGAGAGCTGAGGGCTGGATGGACCGGAAATGGACTTGAGGTCTCTAGTGGCATCCTTTAGGGCTCTGTCCCTGGCCGGTGAGAGCTTGTCATACAGCCCCAGGCCCTCAGGGTGTCCCAGCTGTGACTATTAGTGGGCTGCTTGGTGTGTGGCTCTTTAGGTGACATGATGGGGCCTTGAGTAACTGAGGGAGATTCAGAGATCTTGCTAAATTGGTAAATATCTAACAAGGACAGACACTGGGTCCAGAACTTTTGCGCCAAAAATACAGGATGGGGAAGAGGGGGCTTTGAAGAGCCACCCCACCCCAAATGCCTTTGGGAGAGGGGACGCCTGCTGCATGCCCCCTGCCAGGCAGCCAGCTTCACGTTTTTCAAATGGAGAAACCGAGGCACAGAGCAATGAAGGCAATTGCTCATGGGATACACGCTCAGATTGGGCTCTGTCCATCTTCAGGCCGGCTGTGCTCAACGTCAGCCCCTCTCAGCCAGCAGGCCACACACAGCTCAAGCCTCCAAGTCTGCGATGGCTATCCATGCCTGACACCCATCAGCCCACCCTCCCTCCCCACCTTGCACAGCTGAGTCCAGCCTGGACCCCTGACAATGCCCCCCCTCCACACACACACACACACACACACACACACACACACACACAGCCCACCCCTTAAAGCCATTGAGGACCCTTCCAGCCCCAAGCAGCTGTTTCCTGTCTCCACACCTCCCTGGCAGGACAGCAGGGCAGCCAGTCATCACAAAGGACAGCCTGTGCCATTTACAACTTGTTTTCAGGAAGTGACCAGGGAAGAATCAGGTAGTGGAAAAACTGGGGCCAGCGGTCAGGGGTCTGAGCCTACCTTCAAAATAGCTGAAGTGTGACTCAGTGGGTCAGCCCCTGTCCTCCCCTATCCCACCAACCCCCACCCCAGCCTGATCACACCTGGATTCCAGACCCAAGGACTTCAGAAAACAGCTGTGCACTTCCACCAGAGGCCAGAGGCTGGGCTGAGAAATGAGATGGGGGAGTGTGGGATGGATAGTAACAAGGGTTGACATTTACTACGAGCTGGTCTCTTTCCTAAGCAGTCCTCAAGTATTAGCATTGCTTGTGTGGATGCAGCGGAGGGGCCTCAGCTCCACTTGACCCTTTGTCCAGCCACCCCAGAGGGCATCCTGGGCTCCGAGCCTTACAAAACGTGCCTGGTGGCGCAGTAGTTAAGCACCCCGTTGCTCACCAAAAGGGCATTGGTTTGAACCCACCAACATTGAGACGGGAGGGAGACATTTGTGTAACCAAGAACTGCCCAGTTGTGGCCTCTGCTACCCTAAAGTGATACAGCCTCGAAGGCCCGCTGGGGCAGTCTGCTCTGTCCCATAGGGTCACTATGAGTTGGACTCCCCAGTGGATTGGGTTTGGGAATCTTTAGCCCAGCAGACTACCTGGCCTTGCTTCTGTGGGTCTTGCTGTTGGGTTCGAACCACCGGTTTTTCAGTTAGCAGCTGAGCTTAACTGTTTGCACCACCAGGGCTCCTTAGTAAAATCCTCCGTAGCAAGCATTCTTATCATCGTTCTCTCTCATCGTGCAGATGGATCATCTGAGGCACAGAGAGAGGAAGTGGCCTAGCCAAGGTCACGTATTGGCAGAGGCAGATTTGAACTTACTCATTTTAGCCAATGCAGCCAGGGCACCTGCTCACTTAGAAATAGTCGCCTAGCCCATCAGAGCAGGAGACCAAGTGGGTGTGGCCCTCCGGGCCCGCACTCCAGCCAGCCCTCCCATTTGCCCCCCACTGGGGGAACGCAGCGACGTGGAGGAACCCGCCCTCTTCTCCCTCGCTGCCTGGGCTGTCACCACCAGAGCCGGATCCCCAGCCTGAGACCCCCTCATTAGGCCGTCAGAGCCACCGCCGCACGCCCCCACTCCCGCCCCAGGGACTATTTCGGGATGCTGAGCTGTGTACTGGAAGCTGTCGGGGTGGGAGTCACAGCGGGCAGTGCGGCTCTGGTCCTGGAAAGCTGACGGCACCCCCAAAGGCTGGGACTGATTTCAGGATCCCCTGAGGTTGGGAGACAAGGCTGAAGACGGCAGGTGGAAAGGTCCCGGGTCACCCCTCCCAGAACCCCCTCCCCCAATTCCAGCCTTCCCAGGAGAGCCTCGCAGGGACAGAGCCGTTTCCTGCAGGAAACTCGGCCGGGCGGTTCCATCCGCCGCCCATTGTCTGCCGGCCGCGGGGGGGGCCGTCCGTCCCCTGCCAATACCGTTTCCGAATGCCCCTCGCAGAGTTCACAGCAAGGGGCTGGCTGGCCCTGGGACCCAAGCCATCGGGAGTGAAACGGGAGAAGGGTCCCAGAGCCTAGTGGGCATTAAGGGGCGAACTAGCGGCCCCGCGATTGGCTCCTGGAGGGCGGAAGGGGGGCATCTCCCGGATCCAGAGCCCCCAGCTCCACTAGTCCCGGACCTGGGGTTCCCAGTGTGGGAGGGGTCAGGCCGGAGGATACGCGCCCGCCCCGTCGCAGCACGCGGAGCCTGCAGAGAGGCAGACGTGCTGCGCTCTAGTCCGCTGGGCCCTGTTCCCCCCAGGCCCCTCTCCGTACCCCACGAGCTGACACTTTACCTGAAACCGCAGCCCCGCGGCGCGCGCGTCGGAGCCCGCCCCCTCGAGGCTCGGGATCGGCGTTATCAAGGCCTCCGCCCTAACTGACGGCCACTCTAGCCAATCAGAATTCAGCACTCTCCCAGCGGACCAATGGAAAGATAGGGCGTGTCCGGGACACCGGAGAGGGGGCGTGTCCGAGGTGTGCCTGAGTGACGTTTCTAGGGACGGGAGGGGGACCTTTGTGTAACCAAGAACTGCCCAGTTTGGCCCTAAGGAGCTTGGATTTAATACACCGGCACTAGGGAGCCATGGGAGGGCTTCGAGCAAGAGGGACGGAGTGAGAGTTGTGTTCTGTGAGACGTAGCAGGGCGTTTGGGGCAGGTACCAAACTTGGCCCCTGGGTGGTGGAAACGGTTTGATCTCATCTCTAACCTAAAGGTTAGAAGCCCTGGTGGTATAGCGGTTTGGGGCTGCTAAGCCCAAGGTCAGCAGTTTGAAACCACCAGCTGTTGGGGGAGGCGGGGGTGGGGTGGAGCAAGATGAGGCTTTCTATTCCCACGGAGTTATAGTCTCAGAAACTCACAGGGGCAGTTCTACTGACTCGATGGCAGTGAGTTTGAGGTTTGTCTGTTTGTTTGTTTTTTAATAGCATAAAGGTGGAGTGGTTCGAGCCTGCCAGGGATGGAATCTCCCTCCACGATTATGCTCGTAAACACACAAAGCCCAACAGGGCAGTTCTACGCTGCAACATTGCCCAAGGGGTAACAGGCTGGGTGGTGGTTCTTTGTCAGTTTGGCACCAAGACCCAGACTCTTTCCTACCACAGGTCCTTTGCACGCGTTTCCCACCTTCCCTGCAAATATTCACCCGGGCAGAGCACCTGCTTCTCTGGGAGTTCGACCTGCGTGCTCCTCCCAAAGACCCACATGTCCCCTCCGATAGTCACTCTTCAGTCTCTCTCATGTCACTCTCTGGAGACAAAACCCTCCCAGACTGGCTTCCTTCCTCCCCGTCGGTCATCTCTACCCGATCGGCACCGTGTTGTCCTTGTTGTTAGATGCCATCGAATTGGTTCTGACTCACAGGGGACCTTCATACAGACGAACAAGACCCTGCTGATTCTGCCCCATCCCCCCAAATGCTGGAGTCCGTGGTTGGAGCCACTGTGTCCACCCAGCTCACTGAAGAGCCTCCTCTTTTGTGGCCATCGTGCTGCTTTACCAAACATGTTGTCCTTTGCCAGGGACTGGTCTCTCCTGACTACATGTCCGAAAGACATGAGGCAAAGTCTCCCCATCCTTCCTCCTGAGGGGCATTCTGGCTGTCCTTCCATGGCAGATCTGTTTGTTCTCCTTGGCGGTCCCTGGTACTTTCACTAGTCTTCACCGGCACCACGGTCCAAATGGATTCAAGTCATAAAGGCAGAGAGATGGTTTATGTTGACCACCACTTCACCCAGTGCCTTGGCACACAGTCGATGCTTAATACATTCTTCTTGAAATACTGATTCAAAATGCTAGGGAGACTTCCCCGCCTTTGGAACCTACTTATGACCAAAGACGATCGATTATGCAGAAGGATTTCCCCCCTACGGATTTAGAGTCTATTGAGTGCTGTGTCCCAGCCACTGTGCTCACCTCTACAGGGATATAAACTCTGCCAGCCTGGCTTCTAAAGCTGAGAGGCAGCGACAGGCCTTCCAGCTAAGGGCTGTGATAAAGGGCGGCAAGGATGGGGGCTGGGGGAGTCAAAGTTAACCAAAAAACCCACTGCTATGGAGTCAATTCTGACTCATAGCAACACTATAGGACAGGACAGAACTGCCCTTTGTGGGTGTCCAAGACTCTAACTCTTAATGGGAATAGAAAGCCTCCTCTTTCTCCCAGGGAGCAGCTGCTGGTGTTGAACTGCTGGCTTTACACTTAGCAGCCCACTGTGTAACCACTACGGCACCAGGGCTTCGTGTGGGAGCAGAGCAGGGAAATCCCAGTCTGGAGTGAGGGGATGGTGGGATGAAAAGAGAGGGTGCCTGCACGGTGACCTTTAGGAAGCACGTTCTAGGCAGGGGGGCTGCGTGTACCTTGGGGGAGAACTGTGAAGTGCCACAGGTGGAGGTGGGGGTTTGTTTAGGTCACTGTGGTGAGGGAGGTTGGCTAGAGGGGTGGATTCACACACACACACACACACAGCTGGTTCAAAGCTGCCTTCCAGTCCATAAGAACCAACAAGTCTATCTTGAAAGAAATATGGCCAGAACCAGGGGTGGGCTACCCAATGAGCAAGGGACACGCAGGTCTAACTTCTCACAATCTACAATTCCACCTGCCCCCATCCCATGTCAAAGATGTGGCAAAACCCATGGGAGGGCACTCACAGAGTAGCAAGTCGACACAACCAAGTGTGTGTGAACTCTGCCCTGGTAGTGCTGGATAAGCGTGGGGCTGCTTACCCCAAGGTTGCCAGTTCCAACCCACTACTCGTTCCACAGGAGAAAGATAAGGCTCTCTGCTCCCATAAAGAGAGACAGCCTTTATAGTGACCCTACATATAAGGTGACCAGATTTTCACATTGGTAAAGCGGGACACCATTGATAAAACTCCTATCCTGGCAAAACAGCCACATGGCAGCCGAAAACCGTATACCCTAGCTTGTCGTGCATTCTTTCCAAAAATCAGGACTTTTTTTAAAACGCCACAGGACACAGGAAAAATCATTAAAAATCAGAACTGTCCCGCCAAAAGCGGGACGTCTGGTCACCTTACCTACATAGTGTCACTGCTGCTTAAGTTGACCTCATCGAGTTAAACCAAGCATTTAGCCATTGGGCCACTAGGTCTCCTTGCTGTATCTTGAGAGCATATTTTACCATCTGACAATCCATGTTTTGCAAACGTCCTTGTTGTTACTATGAGGTGCCATTGAGTCCGTTCATATGCCCAACAGAATAAAACACTGCCCGGCCCTGTGCCATCCTCACCAGGGTTGTTAGTCACCATGTCAACCCGTCTCTTTGAAGGTCTTCCTCTTTTCCGATGGCTCTTGTCACTACCAAGCATGATGCCCTTTTCCATGTGCCGGTCCCTCCTGGCAACATGTCCCAAGTACATGGCTATGGAGATTTCCATCGGTTTGGTCTTCGAAAGAAGTTGTACAACTTTTTCAAGTTTCCCCATGAAAAGCCCATTTTGGAATTAAAAAATAGATTTTGTATCCTAAAATAAAGCAGGCACAGAAACACACACACACACACACTCACACATACACAGCCAGATGCAAGCGACCACCCAAAGCAAATGTATAGCTGAATCAGCACCTGGGTCACAACAATCCAGTCATGGGGGTGATGCAAGCCTGGGAGGCGGTCCATGCCGATGCTGTTGCCCCTTGGCAGACACATAGAAATGTCTGAAGACATTTTTGGTGCTGTGACTGGAGGAAGGGATGCAAACAGTGGCATCTGTTAACCCAACATCTGTGTTTGTCCCGGTAGACTAGAGAAACAAATCCACAGACACTCATGGGTATAAGAAAGAGCTTTATATACAAGAGCAATTGGATATTGAGAAAACATCCCAGCCCAGTCAAGATCAAGTCCATAAGTCCCATATTACCCTATACATCCGATACCAGTTTAAAAAGTCCTCTTCAGACTCACGCAACACATGTAATGATGCCGAATGCAGGAAGATCACAGACCAGTGGGTGGAAAGTCTTGTGGATCCAGTGGTGGTGGAAGCATCTTGGCACTGGTGTGGGTCTCCACATGGCTCCTCCAGCTCCAGGACTCTAGCGTAGCTCCATGTGTCTTGTTATCAGGAATACCAACAGACAGTGTGTGTGTCCTGCCTCCAACAAGCCATTTATCTCCATCGTGCCTCCAAATGAGGTCATCAGGCTGCGACCTGACTGACAGGTCAGACTCCATCCCTTCCTCAAGTTGACAGATTATGTAACTGCCACAACATCCTTCATTGCATGGGACAGATTACCACCAGAGAGAATGACCAAGTCCCAGGGGTCAGCCTTTGCTGAATTTGAGACACCCAGCTCTTAAACAAGCAGCATGATAACACACCCCCTCTTGTCCGCACGTCAGGTCAGCAAAGTATAATTGCCGGTGACCTCAGGACTCTTGCCATGGGTTCCCATACACCAGAACAGCTGCGATGATGCAGTCCATACCAGTCACCACCTTGTGTTTTTGTATACTTTGGGGTCTTTAAAAAAAAAATCATGTTGCTATAAGATGCTGTCACATCAATGGGGCTCATGAGGACTACAGGTGTATAAAGTAGAATGTCTCCATAGGGTTTTCTTGACTATGATCTGAATGGAAACTGACTGCCAGGCCTTTCTTCCCCAGCACTGCTGCCCAGGGGATTTGAACCGCCCACCTGGAGGTTAGTGGGGGGGTGTGCAAATTGTTTGCCCCACCGGGGAGCATTTTAGATTGTAT